ATGTGTCGCCGGCAGGAGACGGGCTATCGTCCTCCAGACCGGTTAGAGTCGGCTCGCCAGGAACCACTTTCGCGAAGAAGGACGAGCGTAATCGCAGCATCCTGTAATGTGTTCGTTTAAACACACGCCAATCATGCACTATGTGGTCTTTAACCCATATGACCTCATTCACGTTTGTTACAGCAATTGAAATCTAAAGTACACACACGTACGTATCGTTTGGATGGAACACGGATATTAACGCTTAGCTCAATACCGCTGAATTAAAGTATTGAAGTGAATTGTAAAGCACTTGGATAAAATGCATGGTTATTCTACTTACACTTGACATTATATTGGTCGTGTGGGTCCGGGGTAGAAAGTGTCCCCAGAACCCCATAGCTAGTCCAGGAGGCGACTTACTAGGGGGCCCGTGGGGTTTCCGGTTTAGAATTGGTCCCAAGCAACCTATGCTGGTCGTTAGAAGCGACTTAATGGGTTTGGTGATCAGGCTCTGTGACTTGGTTGATAGCGTGTCAAAGCACCCCGACAGCGTGGATGGTTGGTCATACATAATATGAATCACTGGAGTGTCTGGTCCAGCTGGAATTGTGCTGAGTGCGGCGTTAAACAACACACACACACACACACGCACGAACGCACGCACGCACGCACGCGCGCGCGCACGCACACACACACATACACACATACACACACGAGGTGATATGTTGAGAAGATATTTTCACCTCGGATACTATAAAGATGTGTTTGTTTATTGTTTAACGCCTAACTCATCAATATTCCAGCTATATGACGGCGGTCTGTAAATTATCCAGTCTGGACCAGACATTCCAGTGATTGACATCATGAACATCGATATAAAATGTGACTATCTTCGCGTTGTGAAATGTTGGGAGTGTGTTGACAGTATTTTATTTAAGATGTAGTTGTAGTATCAACAGTGTTCTGCTTGGCAAAGTATGAGTCAAGAAAGCTACAATTGAGGTGCTGAAAGCCCCTGATATATTTCTATAGGATCGGCAAATACACTACTCAATCTATTACAGGGATACTTATGACAGGAATCCTCTTGAACTTGCATATCTGTATTACTCGACAAAGTATGTTGATCTGAAAGTTAATATCTAAATTGCAGTACACTGTAAAAAATGTGTTTAGATCCTAAATACAAACCCCGCAAGCGCACACACACACACACACACACACACACACACACACACACACACACACACACACACACACACACACACACACACACACACACACACACACACACACACACACACACACACACACACACACACCACCCTTGAAATTCATTATAAGTAATTTAAAAAAAGGTGTGCATTCTATATTTAATTAGCGTTTAATGGGATACAGAACTGTGTGCGTGTGTGTGTTGTGAGTGTGTGCGGGGTGGGGATGGAGTTAAAAAGCTATTTTAGCAGTATAAATGGATTAATTTCGGGCCGGGGGAGTGGCAGGAGCTAAAAATGTTCAGGACCTATAGTAGTAACCAGATATACTTTCGTTGTCAACTTATACATCAACACATTTATCAACATAGAGTTTTAAACCTCGGCGGCGTTCGAACCTGCAACGTCTGGCTTTGTCGTCCTTCACGCTACCACCTGTGCTACGGAGACTGTTGTCCTTCACGCTACCACCTGTGCTACGGAGACTGTTGTCCTTCACGCTACCACCTGTGCTACGGAGACTGTTGTCCTTCACGCTACCACCTGTGCTACGGAGACTGTCGTCCTTCACGCTACCACCTGTGCTACGGAGACTGTTGTCATTCACGCTACCACCTGTGCTACGGAGACTGTTGTCCTTCACGCTACCACCTGTGCTACGGAGACTGTTGTCCTTCACGCTACCACCTGTGCTACGGAGACTGTCGTTCTTCACGCTACCACCTGTGCTACGGAGACTGTCGTCCTTCACGCTACCACCTGTGCTACGGAGACTGTCGTCCTTCACGCTACCACCTGTGCTACGGAGACTGTCGTCCTTCACGCTACCACCTGTGCTACGGAGACTGTCGTCCTTCACGCTACCACCTGTGCTACGGAGACTGTTGTCCTTCACGCTACCACCTGTGCCACGGAGACTGTCGTCCTTCACGCTACCACCTTTGCTACGGAGACTGTCGTCCTTCACGCTACCACCTGTGCTACGGAGACTGTCGTCCTTCACGCTACCATCTGTGCTACGGAGACTGTTGTCCTTCACGCTACCACCTGTGCTACGGAGACTGTCGTCCTTCACGCTACCACCTGTGCTACGGAGACTGTCGTCCTTCACGCTACCACCTGTGCTACGGAGACTGTCGTCCTTCACGCTACCACCTGTGCTACGGAGACTGTCGTCCTTCACGCTACCACCTGTGCTACGGAGACTGTTGTCCTGACAATTTAAGTGTCACTTTTCATAGTCACCAGTAACCGAGTTTTGTCAAGTTGTACATATTAATATCAAATTAATATTGTAAGTCCTGGTTGTATTTGTGTTATGCAAGTGCCCGTGAATCTGATTTGCACATCTAATTTCAATATATATTATACATCTTATCCATATTTGACTTATTGCCGAATGGTATGCACTTTATTGAAACATGTTTATATTCTAAACATGTTTTAACATGTTTAAATTCTGAGCATGTTTCAAATATAACCATGTTCAAATACGTTTAACATCTAAATATGTTTTAACGTGTTTTAATTCAAATAATATTTACATTATGTTGTGATTAGGTGATATTTAGGCTGTAGGCGATAGCTCATTTCATGTGTTTAGACCTAAATGTGTTCAGATAGAGCACACCAAATGTGTATTCCGTTCAGGATTTAAACACATTCCTAATCATGTTTAGATCTGAACCTTGTCTGTCCTTACCTTGTCCGTGTTGACATCCTAAACACAATTATTTCCCAGTGTAAACGTGGACAGGTAAACATGTTCTAATATCTACCAGAATGCATCGTAAGTTACTCGTTACTCCAGTTGTAATTCAGTGTGGGCCTGTTGGACGTGGAGGGGCGGGTGTGGTTTTGATGGCTCTATGGCCTTGTTATTCGTCTTTTTAACTTTGGTCTCGTTTGGGAGTTTTCTATTTTGTTTATTTATTCTTCTAAAAGTTCAATTAACTAAGATCATTTTTAATTTAATAATTTATTTTTATTTATTCATTTGATTATTTCTTGTTCTTAAAATTATCATTATTTTATTTTGTACCTATTGTTGTTGTAGGGCCTTGTAGGTTCAACAAGTAGTTGAGGATAATTGGATGTCTTTGCCATATCAATTATTCTGCAAATGACTTTATAAAGCACCTTCCTAGTTTGTCATTTTGAAATCCAGTGCGTCTGTTAAAATGAAAAATAGCATTAAATAAAGAGTACCTACATTGTTAATGCACGTGCTCTGATGCCACAATGTCCGAATCGTCCCTTGTCATAAGCAATGATCGCCATCAGCATGACAGGCACAAATAAAGCCTAGCCACTGCATGAAAAACATGCTGATTCTGTTAATAATGGGAGGCACCGGGACTCCAATGTGTTGAACTGAAAATGTCGAGCTGAAGTTAGAGGCGATTTATTTATAGTTCAAACAGTTAGCCAACTGCCGCAAAAATATGGAATCTCACTCAGCAAACAATGAGTGATAATTTCAAGCACATGTATATTGGCCTCCAACTTGAAGCAGTTCTACCCTTCTGTAACGTAATGGCGTGTACCCTACAGTGACGCCCACCTTATTAACAATGGGCTTCGGGCAAAACCACATTTATTTTTCCAATCAGGGAACTCTTGAACATATAAGAGCAAAAGAGTATAAACTAGTCCAATTATACAAAAAACCGCCGTTTTTTTCATTGTGCATGCTCCATAGAGAATCTTGTCGCGCATGTGCAAACAATCACATTTGTGCCATTTCGCCCAGCGAGGGGCGCAGTATATTTATGTTTTGACTACTTCCCACGGGCTTCTTGGATTAAAGTTTATATGTAAGGCGAGCTGCCCGGTTGTTGTCTTGTATTCAACATGTCGGAAACTGTTTATCTTGAGAGCTTTGAAGCACATCAAGTATTGTACAGAAGGCATCAGTGTTATGTAATCGCGTCCCGAGACAAGTGCGCGCCAGCTATTGGATATCTCTGCGTTGTCAGGGGAAACCATAATCTTTATCAGTTCCAGCAAACTGTTCATATGATATTCTTACATTTATGCTGTAATTAAGACTTTAATTTGAAGATATTAAATCACCGTATGGCTAAAAGTTGATAATTAAGCAGGAGCCTTATATATATATACTTGCTGTAAAACTGCAGGTTTAGCATTTCCGAGTTTTCGTGCAGCGGTCTCGTAAATCAGTAATTAACTAAATGCTTTACGGAGTTTTGCTGTTGCTAGGCTGTTGAAAATATGCATACCCCAAGATACATACGTTTCTCAGATTCAAAGGGAATAAAGAATATATTATTTAAATCAATATTGGTCCTTGGAATAATGCATGTATGATAACATTGCTGTGATAATATTGTTATTGTTATGGTGGGTCTTTCTTTAAGTAGGTGAAGTAAATAAAACATAAGTTCAACTTAAAACTAATTTCTCATGGGAATATAACACTGATGGAGTAATATAATATGTATTGTGAAACATTCTGAAATAATACGATAAAACCGATAACGTGAGAACACTTATTTATGTTTAAAAAATAGGGTAAAGAGGAACACGACTTTTCCAGATCTATAATAAACAAAACACATCTGCGAAAACACGAACCTTTTTTAATTAAACATGTTTGTGCAGGATCGGAAATCCGTGTCTAAACTAACCATACAACTGCAGTAGTCCAGACATATGGACGGCAGTTGGATGGAGGATAGCCCCCGATACACTGGGAACAGATGACAGTTAGACATATGATACCACCAGATACTCTGGAAACAATCGACGGACAGGACAACAGACATGCATTCGTATACTCACAGTTGGAGTTGATTCTCCCATAGGACGCGTGCGCCATCGTGATAATGTTGCAGTTGCGACGTTGTCTGTGCCTTGAGTACTGCCGTCCCCGACGGTAGCGTTAGCACCTCCGAGAACGCTGTTTTCCTATGTCGTATGGAAATGCAAAAACGTTGTTCAGGTGTTTAGACGTTGCCGTTGCCGAATCACTGGCACTTTTTGCGGTCTCTGTGGCGTTGGTCTGGCTATTTGTAGCGTCGTCGTAGGAGTCGCTGACACTGTAGTAGATTATCACGCCTCCGTCTCAGCACAGTGGGCGTGTCGTACCTGGAGGAACCTGCACGCCGATGGTCCTGACAGAGACGCTGTCGTAATTACAGACGTTGTGATTGAACGTCGTCGTTGCAGAAGTTAGCACCTCAAAATTGCCATCACCTCTCTGTGCCTTGATTGTACGATTGCGATGACAGTCGATTTGGATGAAAAAGAACTTTCAAAAACAAACGCTTGAGTATCGATTTTTGAAGTTGTTGCTTCTTACAATGAACACATCCGTCGCCGATGCTGCTCAATTGTCTGATTATTGTCTTACAAATCTGATTACCCTTTAGCTTTCCCTTCAACCCAGAGATTACTCTCACTGCGTTCCTGCCGTCACGCTCAATTAAATCTCCAACAAAAAATAACAATCCACGTAAAACCTGTCGTCTCCAGTAACAGTTGTGCAAACGTCGTTCAACACCTTGACCCTCCTGCGCGAATTCGCCGGCCGTTCCAGACGCTGTCTGTCAAAGTCTGCCTGTCACCACGAGCGCTCCAAGTAATGACTCCGTGTTATCTGAGCGACGCTTGGCGAGACCCGAGTCATACGTCTTGAAGAAATCAGCTGCTGAAGTTTACTTGCCGTGATATGACGATGAAACCTGACCCAATGTTAGGAAAGGCTCTTTCTGGGTCAGAGTTCCAGGCGGCAGGCGGAGCTATGACCAGGATTCGCTGCCAACCCTCCTCTTCAAACGCCACTCTATGCTCCAGTGAAGAACGCGTCAAAAACGCACATGTTCAAATCGACAAATACTATGTTCGGGAAATCAAAAAGCAAATTGAATTTCAAAAGCAGCTGTCCCGAGTGTCTCCGATCCCCAGTTTCTCATGATCTCTCTTGACATAAATTAGCCAGGAGGGCGGATTTCTACTTCTCATATATTTTTCCATCCAGGATTGTATTTGTTTACATATGCGTATTTTCAAAATAAATGGCGCTGATATTCCTTTCTTCTCCTTTGAAAATAATACCATTGACCTTCAGAACTTACATGTTGGTCAGAACAAAGGTTCATTATCTTGCCCCGGGACCATGTGACTCTCGTGAGGTCACGTGTCCTTATCACAACACAGAGTTGGAAGTGGAGACAAGGAATCACTGCGTCAATTAGACGGGGGGAATTTGGGATGTTTGGGTAATAAAGGGAGCCCAATTAGGTGGGTATATCGGGTTCCTGTATATAATTACAAAGAAATAGATAGTCGAGGGAAGAGAGGTCAAAGGTAGCTATGAATAAACCACGAGTTTTTTTTCTTCGTTTCTGATTAAACCAAAACGTTGCAACCTCTGTAACCCTGAAGGCGACTTGGGAAGCCGTGTACATTTTATATGGGAATTTTCCTGCTAACGTGTTTAATCACGTAAATGCGTTTAGGTGTGGATTGCATAACATAATGTATAATTATGTGCAACCTCTTTTTGTTGCTGTTTTTAATTTGATATATGTGTGTTGGGGGAATTTAGGGGTGTGGCAATACCTATCAACAAAAACACTTATATAACCACCCTCCATTCTTAATTCAAACAGGCGAGAAAGGAGCTATGGAATTCATAATCATATGTGCTACCTACTTCTTCATTGTTAGTATCAGGACCCCTTGAAGATCCGGGTTAGAAGAGGTCTTCAGCAACCCATGCTTGTCGTAAGAGGCGACCAAAGGGATCGGGTGGTCAAGATCGCTGGCTTGGTTGAGGCATGTCATCGTATCACAATTGCGATGCTCATGATATCAATCACTGGATTGTCTGGTCCAGACTCGATTATTTACAGACAGCCGTCATATAGCTGGAATAGTGCGGCGTTAAACAACAAACAAACATCGATGTTAGTATCAGATTGATTATACATAAAATAAATATTAAGTTTTAACGTGATAACTTATCTGCTGTTATTTTCAAAACAATACCATCTCTATAACATCTCCACTTACGACACAATCTCTATGGTTTCAAGGAAACATATGTATTTAAGTCAAAGCCCTTTATAACTAAATATACATTTATACTTTTGCATACAGGTGATGACAGCTGTCACAGTAATTCCTATATGTATGGACACGATGTACAGAGAAACTCCATCAGTCCGACATCCCAACACCCAGACGATGGATATCTGCTCGGAGTGTCAATAAAATAGCACATTATTTTTACTTAAAGTGAGTGAGTGAGTGAGTTGGGTTTAACGCCGTAATATCACGGCGTGTCAGCTTAATGTGGGAGGAAAGCCCGAAGTGATGCAGGTCTCAGACGTTTACCACTTCGGTGAAACCCACGAGCACAGGTATGGTGCTGACAAACCTAGAAACATAATCGGGACGAACCGGGATTCGAACCCACAATCATAGGTTTCTGGCGGGCCTAAGGGACGCAACTCTGCACAGCGAATCGCGGCGCCTTAGACAACTGAGCCACCCGTGTCCCCTTACGAGACCATTTGGACTTAGTCTTATTATTACGCTCGATTATCCGGATAATTTCACTGGGAAGAGTAGCGCTCGGATCAACAGCGTTTCAGTGTATTTACATCAAAAGTCATCTTGCGACATTTTATGGGTCACGAAACTGAAATATGGGAAATTTTAGTTTTCCTAATAAATCATGAAATGTTTTGGTAGGGTGACAAATACGTTAATTAGGTGACGCTTTTTCCTGAATAATTCGTCAGATTCCACATTTTTCAAGCGTACTTTTTTTAATTTATTGCCTGAGGTTCCCTCCAACAGACCGTCAGTGGTACGAATATTGTGTTTGGTCTGAAGGAATGTTTCTTTAAATGAATAATTTGCGAAGAGAGAAAAGAAATACATAAGTGACACGCAATGACGTTATCTGAAGAATTTTGGAATTCAACTTTCGATCAACGTTAGCGGTGTTGGCTTGAGCCGTAACGAGGTCCATGTGTCCCGGAGATCGTGATCTCCGACACCAGATTGCGTCTGTGATGTGGCTGGCGGTATGTGTGTGTTTGGGATGAGGAACTACTGGTTCGGCACCTGGGTCGGTTAGGATAACAACAATTCTGCTAATCGTGATTAAATACAAAGTCAAGGCTGCACTAGACTGGGATTGGTCTCTGTTTGCAATAAAAAATAAAATGTAAAAACTCCGAGAATCATTGTATGTGTATGTTACTGGTGTTTTCCGAATGCGCAGCATCCCTCTGATTCTTTTGCTACATTGTTTTTATGTTATTTTAAGGCGTGAGAAACATATGACAATGTATTCATATGACCCGGTCTCTACTAGGTATTGAGAAACAGGTGACCCAGTTATCTCAGGCGACGCAGTTCTCTGTGCAGAGTTGCGTCCCTTATGAGTGCCAGAATTCGACGAAAATGGGTTGAATTTCCTGATCAACAGTGTTAATGATTCTAGGTTTGAACCCGTGTTCGCGTGTTCTGCTAAAGTGCTAAACGTGTATCAGTTTGGCCTTTCCTGCCAAATTAGTCTGACTCACCTTGATATAATGCTCACTCACTCATTCACTCATTCACTCACTCACCCATTCACTCACTCACTCACCCATTCACTTACTCACCCATTCACTCACTCACCCATTCACTCACTCACTCACTCACCCATACACTCACTCACCCATACACTCACTCACTCATTCACTCACTCACTCACCCATTCACTCACTCACTCACCCACTCACTCACTCATTTACTTACTCACTCATTCACTCACTCACCCATTCACTCACTCACTCACCCATTCACTCACTCACCCATACATTCACTCACTCACTCACTCACCCATTCACTCACTCACCCACTCACTCACCCATTCACTCACTCACCCACCCACTCACTCACTCACTCACTCACTCACTCACCCCTACACTCACTCACTCATTCACACACTCACCCATACACTCACTCACTCACTCATTCACTGACCCATTCACTCACTCACTCACCCATTCACTCACTTACACTCACCCATTCACTCACGCACCCATTCACTCACTCACTCACTCACTCACCCATTTACTAGCTCACCCATACACTCACTCATTCACTCACTCACTCACCCATTCACTCACGCACCCATTCACTCACTCACCCATTCACTCACTCATCCATACACTCATTCACTTTCCTCCGCGCCAGTCAAGGTCTCCTTAATTATTAGTTATACACACAGATGAATCCTGTTTTGCTAAACCTGGAACCCTTCAGGAGGTTACACAGCATCTTTCCACGGCTATAGACCGGGCGTTTCTCTAATCAATGTAGCGTATTAGCCGTCGCTCAGCCATAGGAGAAACTAATCTCCCACTTCCAGTTTCAAAGAATCATTTTTATTTCTCAAAAGTCCTATTATCACAGCTTGGTGGACTCTCGGTCGTCCGTCAGCTAACTTGTGAGATAGTGGAGCCTTTCAACCCCTTCTCATTCCACAGCACGCAATTCACGTTAAGAATGCTTGAAACACTCGTTGTTAAGATAAAAATCATTTGTTTAAAACATCTTCTTACCAAAACTGGTATTTCATTACCGTTACTGGATTGTTTCCGGGCTCATAGTGACGTCAATGTTTGTCTAGTGTACTGCTCAACACAATATGTATAAATATGTAGGTCATATAACACAATATGTATAAATATGTAGGTCATATAACACAATATGTATAAATATGTAGGTCATATAACACAATATGTATAAACATGTAGGGCATATAACACAATATGTACAAACATGTAGGGCACATAACACAATATGTACTCAATGTGATTTTTGAATTATGTGCACTGTTATATGTGAGAACATGTGAAGTGTATTGAAAAATAACATACCGTTCTCAAATTTCAAAATTATTTCCATTCTTCTGGAAAATGTTTATTATTATATGTCAAAAAGGTAAAACGCATTAGTGAGTTCAGATTGCCTGATGTGTGAGAGGTAATTCTGTGTGTAGGATTGTGGCTGCGTGCGTAAAACAACGACATGTAGAATAACATGTAGAAACAATAAACGGTACACAACCTTCAACACTTTCATTGTTGCGGTTAACTGTATTTTTCATTTTTATTTGTTTAAAGGAAAAGTCAACAGCTAATTTTGCTGACAATCCAGCTCGGCCAACTCGCTGAAATCCGTCAAACGTTTGTACACCTGGACTGAACGGCTGTTAATGATGTCTGATTAATATTCAGCGAGCTTGTTAAAATTGAACATTTCCCTAACCGATCAACCTTCAGATATCTTACTGTTGGATTTCGTTTTTCTTTGAGATCCCAGAGCAAATACGTTGATGTAAAGCAATCTACCCCATTCCATTTATCCGACACCCACACCCACCCCGACCATAACACCACCCCCTCCACCCCCTCCACCACCTCAGCGCCTTCCCTCTTCAGCTCTAGCAGCCCTTACTCAGTCCCTCTTTCAGCTCTAGCAGCCCTTACTCAGCCCTCTTTCAGCTCTAGCAGCCCTTACTCAGACCCTTTTCAGCTCTAGCAGTCCTTACTCAGCCCTCTTTCAGCTCTAGCAGCCCTTACTCAGACCCTTTTCAGCTCTAGCAGCCCTTACTCAGACACTTTTCAGCTCTAGCATTCCTTACTCAGACCCTTTTCAGCTCTAGCAGCCCTTACTCAGACACTTTTCAGCTCTAGCAGCCCTTACTCAGCCCTCTTTCAGCTCTAGCAGCCCTTACTCAGACCCTTTTCAGCTCTAGCAGTCCTTACTCAGCCCTCTTTCAGCTCTAGCAGCCCTTACTCAGACCCTTTTCAGCTCTAGCAGCCCTTACTCAGACACTTTTCAGCTCTAGCATTCCTTACTCAGA